AAAAGATAGACACTAGACTATAAGATCACTTAATGAGTCAGCATAATGGAGCAAATGAAAACTCTTTACATATTTACTCATTTAAAATCACCCAAGGGTACAGACTCGAGCAGTAAGAATTAATTAGACTAAACAAAACAGAACAGCAATGGCCAAGAACATTTTAATTCCACTAAAGGTAAATTTTTAAATATGTCTCACTTTTCAACCTAAAAATGAGTATACAATGCATCTATCCAACCAGCACAAGCAGCTAATGTCTTTCATTTCACATGTTCTATAGCCAATTTCTTACAGCTCTGGCCTGTGCCTCAATTTCTTCATCTGTAATTTAGAAATTAAAATAAAGGGGAGCTTTCTTTCTGGCTCCCTCACTGGAACACAGAGTGAAAAAAAATTTTTTAAATATATATTTTTTTATTTCAGAGAGGAAGGGAGAGGTAGAGAGAGACAGAAACATCAATGATGAGAAAGAATCATTGATCAGCTGCCTCCTGCACACCCAGCCTGAAACCCGGGCATGTGCCCTGACCAGGAATCAAACTGTGACCCCCTGGTTCCTAGGTCAACACTCAACCACTGAACCATGCTGATCAGGTCAGAATGAAATTTTTGATAAGGATAATACATTATTTACCTTTGGTTTTTCACAGATAAAAATCCCATTATATATACAGCATGGGGCAAAAGTAGGTTTACAGTTGTTAGTAAGGAAAATAATACAATGTTAAGAAATAATCTATATATATAAAAGCCAGCAACCAGAACACTGTAACGACTGGAACAACTGGTCACTATGACACCCACTGCGGCCAGCAAACCTGCCTGATCGGGGGTGGGGCCGGTCAGCCAATCTCCCAAGGCCCCTTTTTTTGACTGGCCCACCACCCAGAGCCTCTCCCTTTTGCCGGCCCCAACCCTGATCTGTCCCCACCACCTGATCGGCCCATGGCCCTCCCCCCAGCCAGCTCTGCCCCCGATCAGCCCCCCCCACTCTAATCAGGGGCAAAGCCGGCTGCTACTGCCCACAGCCCCTCCCCTCGGCTGGCCCTGCCCCCAATTGCCCCCCCACCAATTGGGGGAGGGGCCCACCAGCCAATCCCCCAAGGCCCCTTCCCCCTGGCTGGCCCGGCCCTGACTGGGACCCGTCAGGTGGGCCAGCTGACCAACCTCCTGCCGTCTCCTCCTCCCAACAGGCCTGACCCACCCAATCGGGACCAAGCTGGCTGGACCCCACCCATGCACAAATTCGTGCACTGGGACTCTAATAATACAAGAATAAACTGTGTTTTGTGTACCCACAACTCTAAACCTACCTTTGCCTATCCTATATATATCCATTTTTAAAATTTATTTCATGGCCTGAATTTGTAAACTTCTCATAGTAGTTATTAAATGCCAAGTGCTTAACTACAAGATAAACTCTAGTCTATTTGCAACTCTATGCTAAAAATATATTTTAATGTATGACTGGCTACAACAGCTTATAAAGCTACTGAATGTCTCTGCTTATCACAGATAGTGACTCTAATGAGAGCAGATTGTGTTCATTGTGAGACTGCCTTTAGATGTGTCCAGCTCCAATCTATCATTCACTAGAAACCAATCCTAAGGAAAAGGAGGCTGAGAAACAAACAAACAAACAAACATATGCCCACCAAATGTACTGTTTCCAAATGATTCCATGGAGTTTCATAAGCATGTGGTTGTTTGCCATGTTCATTGAAAAAGGCATAGGATAATGGTATCTACCTGCTACCAAAAAAGAGACTTAGGTTCAATGTGATAAGTGATTCACTCATGAAGTCAAGGAAGAAGTCAGGATCTGAGTGGGAGGCTGTTGCAGCTTCTCCATCTGACCGTACTAGGGTTAGCTCAACAGTCATTGAAAGAATAGATTTGGATGGGTCAGGTGTTCCCACACAGCAGAGTGGAGTGTGAATATAAGGCCCTGAGGTCCTTTCAACAACTATTTCCCACTATTTTTATTATCTCATTAACTCTATCAATTTCCTTATGAATATCTTATGCAGTATTATTAGGTCTATTTTATTGGAGGAAAAACCCCAGGAAAAGTGAAGTGAAATTATGTGTTTGAGGTCAGATGAGTCATCAGCCAGGCCAGGAGTGAGCCACTTATGCACTTTTCACACTAATTTTAGTGTCTGTGGTCTCTCTGATAATGGAAGTTGCAGGATGGTTGAGCTCTAGACCCAGTTTTCTCCAACTTGATCTACACTTTTCCCCAAAATACTAATGTATTAAGTATTAGTCACAAATGAGCAAACATCATGCATGGCTCCCTAAACCAATTAACATGTCAGGTCCAATTTACTGTTAGACAAATAATTTGAAATATTTGTAAGAAAGCAGCATGAGAATTTATTCTCTGCAATTAGGCAGAGATTTTAGTAAATTCTTGATATTCCTTGATGGAGCTCACAATTGAAAAAGAACCACCATTTTTGCTGCCTCTGGGTTGTGTAAGGAGAGGACCGTGCTGGGAAGCTACACTGGTTCCCAATCCTAGTAGTAGAGGGAAACTGAAACATGCCATCAGGTTAATAAGCAAATAAGCCAATCAAGAGAGTTGCCAGGTCACAAAGATCCAAAGAGGCAGAAGTTGCAAATTCTTTAAATTTAAGATTCTAAAAGGTGGCAACATTTTTTCTTTGGATCTTAAATAAGTTTTTTACACTATAATTACAGACTGTTTCTTCTTCTTCTTCTTTTTTTTTCAATCCAAAAAAATTTATTTAACACTTAGAGCTTTGTGGTAACAGACAATAAATGAGTTTTCAAATGTCATATTGTGTATATATTTTGTTTCAGAAAGGTAGAAAGGTATAATCAAAACATAAAGACTTTAACCAAAAAAATCAGTGAGGTAAGTGTAAGGGGAATAAGGAGGAAAAGGAACAATGTATACTTTCTGACAAAAGAACTTATTGATGTGTCTTTTAAATATACAATTGTGGGTATCAAATCACTATGGAATTAGATTCCAGTATCTATATTTAAGAGCACTGTAATAGTTTTTTTTTAATTTCTTTATTGGTTAAAGTATTACAAATGTGTCCTCATCCCCCTATTAACCCCCAACCTCCCCTCCCACCCCTGCACTCATACTCTCATCCCCCTGTTGTCTGTGTCCATAGGTTTGGCTTATATGCCTGCATACAAGTCCTTTGGTTGATCTCTTCCTCTTACCCCCACCCTCCCCTACTTTTCCTTTGGGGATTGATAGTCTGATTGCTGTTTCTCTGTCTTTGGGTCTGTCCCTGTTCATCAGTCTATGTTGTTCTCTATATTCCACAGTGAGTGAGATCATGTGGTATTTATCTTTCTCTGACTGGCTTATTTCACTTAGCATAATGCTCTCCAGTTCCATCCATGCTGTTGCAAATGGCAAGAATTCCTTCTTTTTTACCGCAGCGTAGTATTCCATTGTGTAGATGTACCACAGTTTTTTAATCCACTCATCTGCTGATGGGCATTTAGGCTGTTTCCAAATCTTAGCTATGGTGAATTGTGCTGCCATGAACATAGGGGTGCATATATCCTTTCTGATTGGTGTTTCTAGCTTCTTGGGATATATTCCTAGTAGTGGGATCACTGGGTCAAATGGGAGTTCCATTTTTAGTTTTTTGAGGAAACTCCATACTGTTCTCCACAGTGGCTGCACCAGTCTGCATTCCCACCAGCAATGCAGAAGGGTTCCTTTTTCTCCACATCCTCTCCAACACTTGTTGTTTGTTGATTTGTTGATGATAGCCATTCTGACAGGTGTGAGATGATACCACATTGCCCAAAATGTTCTTCTAATGCTATGAAATGAAATAATTAAGGAGTCTATAATTTCACATACAGTTCCCAAAAATCTTAACTAAATTCTTCCCGGCATACTCAAAATCTTTTGACTTCCTTCATCAAGGGAATTTGCCAATCATTTTATCATTTGAATGATGAAAAATCTGGAGGACACATTATAGTCTATGTCTATACAGTTATAGACTATAGTCTTTCCACTGTTTGCTTATATAGTTTCCTGGGTCTGAACAGCTGGTCACCCAAATGTCAGATTTAAAGAACACTGAAAGGAACATCACATCAAAATACATCTTTCTTACCATTCTCATACAGTTTCTGAAATGGCTATTATTTCTTTGGAGTAAGAAATGAAGAGTAACTTGTTAAAATGAAAATACTATCTAGAATGACTTAAGAGCTAAAAATTATCATCTATTATTTAGATAACTAGAGGTCCAGTGCACGAAATCATGTTTAGTCTTTAAACTAAATAATCTATACTAATAAAAGGGTAATATGCTAATTAGACTGGACATCTTCCGGGCGACCTTCTGGACATCCTTCCTGACAAAGCCACGTGGCAGGGAAGAGGCAGAGGCAGTTAGGGGTGATCAGGCTGGCAAGGGAGAGCAATTAGGGGAATCAGGCCAGCAGGGGAGAGCAGTTAAGAGGATCAAGGGGGTGTTCCTCAGTCTGGTCTGCACCCTCTCCAATCCAGGACTCCTTGGGGGATGTCTGCCGGAAGCCGGTCCATCCTTGCTGCTTGACACAATTGCTGCAGGGAAGAAACATCTGCACAGCATATGTTTCAAGGGACCTGGGGTATATGGCATACTGTTCTTAATATGTTTGCTCCCCTTCTTAGTGCTATGTGTTTTAACCAAGGTCACCTCTCCGGGAAAGGTTGTTTCCCCAGATGGGGATTTTTCCCTGGAGTTAGGGATTAACAGGACTAAGGAAGGAAATCAGTAAAACCCCTTAACTAAGTGCCAGGCGGGTAGTTAATCACTTTAACTACGAACAATCATGCTTAAGCTACATAATCTTTACTTAGGATAATCTCCTTCAGTTACTTCCTTGTAGCTTAACAGAACAATAGAGTAGTGACCTTGAAATGGAGATAACAAATGCCCTAACCTTTGGAATAGAATGGATAGAATTAAAATCAAATGGTATAAATACAGAGATACGCTCCTTAGATCACTCCTTTCTGCTGGTGAACGCCGAGGAGTAAGCATCATTGGAATTTCCCCTGTTGCAGTCATCATGTCTAAGTCTGAGTCTCCCAAGGAGCCCGAGCAGCTGCGGAAGCTCTTTATCGGAGGTTTGAGCTTTGAAACAACTGATGAGAGTCTGAGGAGCCATTTTGAGCAATGGGGAACGCTCACGGACTGTGTGGTGATGAGAGATCCAAACACCAAGCGCTCCAGAGGCTTTGGGTTTGTCACCTATGCCACTGTGGAGGAGGTGGATGCAGCCATGAACGCAAGGCCACACAAGGTGGACGGAAGAGTGGTGGAACCAAAGAGGGCTGTCTCAAGAGAAGATTCTCAAAGACCTGGTGCCCACTTAACTGTGAAAAAGATTTTTGTTGGTGGTATTAAAGAAGACACTGAAGAACATCACCTAAGTGATTATTTTGAACAGTATGGGAAAATAGAAGTGATTGAAATCATGACTGACCGAGGCAGTGGCAAAAAGAGAGGCTTTGCTTTTGTAACCTTTGACGACCATGACTCTGTAGACAAGATTGTCATTCAGAAATACCATACTGTGAATGGCCACAA